GATTCTCAGGAAGTCTGCGTAGGTAGGCTTGATAGTTTGTCCTGTTGCTTTTTATAGTTTGCGAATAGGCTCGCAGAACCCATTAATAGCTATATTCCTTTCCCAGTTGAAGATTTTGAAAATCTGGCCCTTTCTGAGGAAGTTCAGTCCATTATTGATCGTCAGTTGGCGACTATGTGCAGCACTTTTGAGCACAATAAACTGCGAAAGGATGCAGGTCGTAATTGGGATCGTTTTTATAATCGAAACGGGGCAAAGTTTTTCAAGGTTTGTTAAAGATCGATCTTGTGGGAGACTAGAATTTCTTCCTTAATTTTGTCCTTGCAATGTACGCTGTTTAGGATCGACATTGGACCAAACGTGAATTCCGAGAATTGGCGGAAATCACCGAAGACGAGGATGTTCAGGTGAATATTTTGGAAATTGGTTGCGGCGTTGGAAATTTTATGTTTCCTCTCATTGAGGATCTTAATTCAGAGCGGAAGAAGCCAGGTAATTTCCAGTTCACATGCAACCTTTTTTGGGATCTACTCTTTAAATTGCAGAATATTTGAGGTGACAGTGCCATTACTCGGCCTTTTAGATGTCCGGCGTTTACTTCCTTTTGTCACGGAGTTATGTAACCTTCTTAAGCACACTACCATATATTATCTCGTGTTTTAGTAATTCATTGTCAATCCCCGAATCACTTTGGCGTTCATGGAGATTTTCGTATGCAACACTTGTAAAATTCTAATTTCTACTTGATGAGTTTTATTTCGGTTCAACTGACCTTTTTATGTCTTTCACCTCATTCAAAATAATTCGTGCGATCCACTTCATTTGACTGAAGATTGAATGGTGACTGGAATCTGCCTTTCTTTGCCCTGCAGTTATCTTTTATGCTTGTGATATCTCGCCGAAAGCTGTGGCAAATGTGAAGGCGAATTTAATGTTCAACGCCGACTTCGTCTCCGTATTCGTTTGTGATGCGGCATCCGAGGATGAGCTGGCGAAATCGATCTCTGCTGCACCGATGCCGGCACTGCTTGAACACTCCTCCATTGGCGATGTGCCTCCGACCATTAGCTTCCATCTCGCAACGCTCATTTTTGTGCTCTCTGCCATCCATCCTCTTCAGATGTCCATCTGCCTTCGGAACGCTGTCCAGTGTGTTCTTATTTTTATTATCATACCTTTTAGAGTTCAAACACTTCTTACAATAGGTAGATTCCAGAACAGCACTTCATCATACTGAAATTTCCTAAGGGAAACTTTGCGATTCTAGTAGTATCGTTCTTACGAGTAGCATCAATTTCTATGCACACTTGGTAAAAGTAACTCAATTCCAACCCAACATATTCCAGAGTATTGCGACCGGAGGGCAAACTGTTGGTTCGTGACTATGGTTTGTACGACCACAGTCAAATGCGCTTTGGGCGAGGTGCGCGTGTTTTGGCAGACCGCCCTCTCTACCGCCGGCAAGATGGGACGTTTGCGTACTTCTTCACATGTGCCGAACTGAGTCAATTGCTCACTGAGGCGGGTCTTACAGTGCTTCGCTGCGCCTATGTATACCGGCGCACCGAAAACCGTGCAACTGGTCTATCAGTGAAACGCACCTTCATCCAGGCTGTGGCTAGGAAAGCTCTCTGAAATCTATCCTCTTTTGTCTATCTCAGTGCCTGCTGATTATGAGAGAATCAGGGTAATCTGCTCGTTGCCCCTTACGACTTGATTGCATTGGGGGGATATTTGATCATTACTCGTCCTAAACGGCATCCTCTTCCCTATGCATTTTTTAAAACAGTTATGCTCTTTAAGGTGTAGAGATATCTGGGTGATTTTTTCCATGTACCAATTATCCCCTTTAATTGAGGAGGCGGCGGTGCAAGAGGACTTATGTGACTCATACCCTAGCAAGATAGGGGGATAAAAAATGAAGCTTCCCGGCACTAGTAGTCATGGGTTCGCGCAAACTGGTTGAATTAAGAAGCACTTGTCAGATCGATATTGAGATAAGAGAAGTTAAGTGGGCTACTTTGTTGGTTCGTAATGCCACCAAAAGCAGTTCAATGACTGGGATCGGTAAAAAAGTTGATATCGCATTACGTAAGGGATTGCATACTGGGAGAACTATACATACAAGAGTTGCATGCAGCACCCAGGTAAGGGGAGAGGACACCATGCAACATTACCATATACAAAGAACTCAGTGAGTGTCAATAAAGAAATGTGCACAAGGAATACATTGTAGACGATCAGCGCGGCAGCTTAATGTTTGGATGAAGGGATCTTCTGATATTTTTGCGGGATAGACCAAGACGCAGAGCAGACGATGGTGTCCCACATACCAACGCAGGGACACCATTCAACGGGGTCAAGGGTTTCGTAGGTGATGATGTCGTCGGACAACCTGATTGTAATTGCGATTGCACATTCTCTAGCTCCAGTCCTGAGCTCGAAGAAGGAATTGCGGGTACGGGGAGGAGTGGTCGCATAGTGAGAGGTGGCGGTGTAATGTCGTTAGAAATAGGCACCGAGTTTTTTAAACAAGGCTTCCTCTTGTGTTGTCTTGCAGCAATGTTTGGAGATATCGCCTGTTTGACTGGTTTCGATTCAAATGCGTTGGGTGAATCCTGTTCCTCATGTTTATCATCGGTATAAAGTGCTTTCTTCCTTTTTGGTGATTTTGGTACTTCTGAGCCATCAATAAGGAAATCGTCTTCATCAGAGTCGCAACCTAGCAATTGAACATAGTTTACTCGACATCGAATTCTTGACGATTTGCGAGGAGAATCCATAACAAAGCTAAACTACGCAAGACAACGGATCCTCCAAGAGTAACCAAAACTGCACCAAAATCAGAGTTTAATACAATCGAGAAAGGACAAACAAAAAGCGCATGGCTAAAGCCCGCAAGAAAGTACGGAGAGCTAAAAATTACACCAAATACACAAGAGCGAAAAATAAAATGGCTCACAACCTGTCCTTATTTTATGATGAATATTATTAAATTATTTACTTAGAATATTTGGAATTAAAAAGCCAACAATATAGTTATATCAGGCTTAATTTACGCTCAAACTGAATATTAGAAGTTGAACAATAATCTATTTTGTAAAAGGAGAAATAAAAGTTATTGAACACATGCAATGAAGTAAAAGGGGAGAGATTGATATTAAATTTACCCAGATGCCAGTCTACAGGCACAAGGCTAAGATGATGTCTAGACTTAGAGTTTGGCAACTAATCAAGGTTTTACCTTGCCCATTTTTATTTGATCCTACGTCAATAGCACTCACTGTAAAACTTTGTTCTATATGACTATCTGACATTTGTCGGTCACTTTAGAATTCGTCTGGTACCTGTACACATAGGCTGACCTTCGGGGCATGCCCAGTTTCCATTTGCCCTGTCGTCTTCGGAATACTTGCATTCAACCCCACTTATGC